CGGTCTTTTTTTTTTGGTAAATGCTTGGTTCTTGAAAATATGATATGCGAATTTTTTGAAAAAATGCAAATTTCCACTTCACTGAGAGCTAGAAGTGTTGCTAGAGCGGTCGTTTGTCAAAAAATCCAAGTATAAAAACGGACTGAATGCTTATTTGCAGATTTGGATGAGAGCGGTAGTTCCCTGCAAAAAGCACTCGCTTCTGATTTTTCAGCAAAGTTGAGTATTTTTCACGCCCACTTGCAGGGAATATCACCTCCAAGCAGAATTAAGACCGCACTAGAAAGTAGAATATCTTAGCGAATTTATAGCCTCGCAGCTTATCCGGTAAACAAAATATCCAATTCGCTACAAATATCTTTAAAGTGCCCTAAGTCGCGGCGCAACTGCAATTTGACACTCATTTTAGGCATACGGTTCCAAATGTGAGCGACAAAGGTGCTGACAAAATTTCAGCCACTGTATTCGGGCAAGTTTTCGAGTTAGCACAGTACAAAATGTAAATTTTGACGTGGTCGTACGTGCTGCACAAGCGTGCGCGACAGCTGAATTTGGAATCTTTAGCTCGCATACACACAGAGAAAATTCCTGCAAAGTTTCACTTTGTACCTTGCCTGGTCTCCAAAATCGTTTCCAGTCAAAGAAATTTGCATATTTTTTTTTTACGCTGGGTCTAGGTGTGTGGGGAAAGATCTTAAAACGGGAGGGTAATGCGTGGGGTAGGAACACATACCCAAAATTTAGCTTCCCAGCTTTTCTGGTTGCTGAGATGAAAGTGTGTGACAAAATGCACTCGCTTCTGAACGCACACACACACACCCACAGATAGACACACAGACAACCTCTTGACAATATGCGTCCTTGCTGGTTGTTGCAGCGCTATAGCGCTACACAGCAAAAACGCATAAAAACCATTTAATTTGCCCAAAGGAATTCAGTCAGTGACGAAATGACGTTACTCTGGAAGCGCATTGAAGTACTGATGATGGTGAACAAAGCAGCAGAACGGATGAGCGGCAAGCGTACTATGCAGAAATTTATTCAAAAGTCAAGAAGAAAAGTGGGGAAAAATTAACATAAAGAAAAAAAAAATGAATGAACGATATGATCACCAGGACGACTTCAAGCTTCGCCGTTTAAATTCCTAGGATCGTTGTCATTCCTCGAGCGCTTCACCAACTCTACAATTTTCTAGCAGTTTGAATCTAACCAATGAAATCTGTAATTTTACGTGTATCGAATTTTAAGCGCGCTTGTTTGCTATTCAGCCTCGCATGCTTTGCGCTTTCCGTGATCAAGTTCAATAAAGCATAAGTAGTAAATCAGCAAAATGGAAATTTCGTTCTGTATAATCCAAGTAATTCGCATGGATTTACAAATGACAGTATAGTCTAGCATGAGCGAGAAACAAGTAAACATTGATATCCACCATGTTACAAGAATAAATTTGATACGAGATGGTCGAAAACTAGCGACATGTACTAATTTGTCTGTCAGTCCATTGATGCAGAATGTGTAAAGCGCAACTGAACACAGTGATAGCGGTGTTAGGTTTAATTTTTAAATACTATGCTAAATTAGTTCTTTATCAGTGGTGTTAAATCCTATGAGTGCACCGCGGCCTAAATAGTTTAATAAACTGTTGATTTGTCTTGCTGTAAATCCATAATACAATTAGACAGAAAACTGAAGTTAAAAGCTGCTTAGCGAACAAGCAGCAGTTTGCTTACCGGTTTATTTTTCAGTGCTAGGGCCAAACAAGAACGGCGAATGAGTGCATTCCTCACTATGCAGATTCACTGCAGCATTAATCCAAATGTTCTTTTAAATTCATTGTTTAAGTTTATTAAAATTACTCGGAGGAGTAATTCAACTTACGAAAAGCCATTGCATCCGCAGAACGAGAAGCACGAATTCCAGAACCAGCCACCAAAACCACCGCAGCATCTGCCGCATCCCCAATTAAAACGTGGAAAGAAGGGGGTAGCTAAGCTGGCTGCAAGTGTGACAAGCTGAAAATTTTGCTTGAATGAATCAAAATTTTCTAGCATCGCAGTTATATAAATGCCAGCCTATGCCAAGAAATTTCAACAATCGAGAGCCCAGTACTGTTCATTCGATGGAGTCATCATGATCCGTCGAATCATCAGTGCTGAGCTTTCGATGCTACCGACTTGCTTATCTGCGACTGTGCCAGCTCGTTCCCGCCTTGAACTACTGTCTTAAGCGCTATATTTACAAGGGTTATTCTAATGGTCAAAGCTCATATAAGTTTATATCTCAAACGTCCCAGAACTTTTACTTCCACTTTCTCGGCATTTGCTTCTGACTGATTCAGCAGATACATCAGGGGACTCATCACTGTCGATTGTTTTAGACAAGCTGATAAACCCGCCTAGCCGTCGAATGGACGGAAAAGGCTGAAAGAGGCTTCAAATCACTCTTTTCTTGCAATGTTCCTAGCCGCGCAGTGTAACACATTGCCGTACCACTACTGGATTAAAGCGTGAAAGCAGACCACAAAATCAAGCTGGGAAGCTAAAAATCATTTTGCAACAGTGACACATCGTGAGGACTAGTGCTGGGAACGGCTGTTTTCAGTATCTCGAGCAGAATTATCTGCAGTTACCAAGGTATAAATAGCGGTGCGCCCCAAGAAATCAGCACAGTCATGCTTTTTACCATGAGCTGTTGCGGGAATCCACCTACAGAAATACATGAGCATTCTGTCTTGCTTGACTTTCAGACATGTCCAGCGTAAAAAAGGAAGTAAGATCGTGAAGTAAAAAAAAAAAAAAAATAAAACGAACGGCCCTGAAATAAGATCTCAATACGGTCTGGCCTGCGGCCTCACTTTGAAACCATGGCTACTTGCAAAACGAAATAAACCATAAACAAGGGATTTTGCTGCTTTACATACGCGGATCATTTGAAAAGTCTTAATGGAGTAGAAACCAGTTTTTTTAAACACTGGCACATCAGGGTATTTTAAGATCACAGTAGCTTTTAACAAAGACGTACGACAACAGAATCTTTCTATTACTTAGCTGACGCTTAATTAAGCAAGTCAGAAAGGTGAAGTTTTACGAGGATATTCCTTCGTGTGCGATTTAAAGAATAATTCAGCTTTCGCGCACTTCTATAAAAGCCGAAATCGACCGGAACATAAAAAGGTGTGCTTGCAGGGATGCTAGCCTACCTTCCTGAATACAGAAAAGAAATCATACCGAAAGTAGAATAATCAGCTTGTAAATCATTGTTGAAGCAAAACTTCTTGGAAGGAAATTGAAAAAGCAGAGAAAGTTTCAGGCTGAAGACTGAATTATTAAAATGCGCATCAATTTATATCAAACTTTGTTGAAAAATTTCCCACAATAGTGCTATTTTCGGTGAAATCACAAACAAAAGAGATGCGTTCGCATGAAAATTGTGTTATTATTAGAAAAGAAATACTTTAAAAAAACCACTGCAAATTTGTTTCAAACTTGGTGGTGAAGCAGCCATTATGAAAAATGCAACAACATCAGCTGATGTTGCTGCCCGAGAAATGCGCAAAAGAATCTAGTGAATTTTTTCGAGTTACATGATTATTTCACAATAATTCCCATTCTATGCATGTATAAAGATGTTTGGTTTGTTATAATATTTCTACAGTAATTTTTAAATAAAGGGAATAAAAAATTCAATTGAAGTAAGAAACGCCATGCATAAAATAAGGCTGTTTTAGAGAATTTTCTGTATAGCATGGTTTATACTTTTTTAATCACTGAACTAAAAAGTGGAAATGAAGGAACATATTTCATTCAGTAATTTTTAAAGCACCTTTTAATTCTTGATGTTACTTTTATACCATTCTTCTATGACGGCGATGCTTGTGAACAAACGCGACCATGGAAAGAATTTAGTCTTAGAGAAAGAAAGCGACTGCTAGCTTCGCTCTATTAAGTTACCTTAAAAGGAGTCTATGTAGGATAGAAATGCATGAGATTTGATTGTTGTGAGCAACGTTTAGCCGAGACAATGGTAAATTTAAATACTCACTCTGCGCTTCAAGCTGGAAACTGTCAACTCTTTCGCGCTAAAAACTGATCGAGGCTAACTACATTATGCTGACATTAAATTTAGACAGCTAAATACAGTTAAGTTCGTCATTCGCCTGGAAACGCTAAATCTGAGGTATGCATTTTTTTTTTTTTTGTGAAATTCTAGATGGAATTTAAAAAAAATGGAAAATGTTGTGGTCAGTAACTCCTTCGGTGTATTGTTTTGTAGCCCAAACTGCGCTTTTATTTGGATGGATCAATTTTTGCAGATAAAATGGATCATTTCGCTCACTGTAAGTTCAGAAGTTCCGCATATGACGGGATTACCACGATGCAGCAGTACATCCTCTAAAAGCACTGGTGCACTCAGCTTTTTGCAAGAAAGCATGACTCCCTGTTGCATGTCGCTATTAGTTCTGTCTCAGATAAACCATTATTTCTTTTTTGTTTTTTTTTAAGATAAGCCACTCGAATCGTTCAACTGACTTTCATTTACTTAAACTACAGGGAATGAAATTTCAACTCTGCTCAGCTGATCAGCGATGCATTGAACAGTCTGGCCCTGCACAGCCTCCTGCAGTATTTGGCCACATTTCAATAACATCGAAGGTCCCATACCGACAGCCTAGGCGATCTGAACATCGATTTTCACCCAATTCATCCGCAAAACATGCCTGCCTTGAGGCAGGCTATGCAGCAATCCTTACAATGCCCTTCCATTATCGACTTTCCCCGCTAGGCTTGTTAGGCATGAACGGTGGGAAGGCAGCTTTTTGGATTCGTTGTCATGGGGCAACAAGCGCTAGCTGCTTGTTAGTTAGCCCCTACGGTTGCATCACGGCTGTCACATCTTCTCACCAATATTTCACCAGCGGTTGCGTCGCGGCTGCAGCAGTTTATCCCTCTTATTAGGCCTTGGCCGATATCCGTCTTGGCCGTCGCCTTTTATAGGCGACCATGTGGGCCAAATGCCTGATAGCGGCACTAATTTTTCAGGCTGTAAATGCAATTGCCCTATCGCATCAGGTTAGTATTTTGCACATGCTTTTAATTAAAACATGTTATATTCGTTTGTTTCGTTCGAAATCGCGTAAAGAGCTGCTTTATTCGAAGACGTACTGAAGCGGTCAAGGGCAGACGCTGTTTTTTTCTAGAAAACAAGTTGTTAAATTTCTTTTTTTAAAGCACAATATAATCCAGCACAGTTCACTTTAGGCATTTTTGTGCCGCATGAGAGTGCAAAACGCATTAAGGTAGCACGTTGGTGTGTGTGCTGTACACATATGTATGCGCCTGTTTATCTTATCGCACGCACATTTGAACAGGATTGTGAAGGCAAGGAAGCTGAAATTTTCTGATGTAAGTGAGCTCTTGAAACTGGAACCATTTCCCAGGTCGCTTTATACCTTGATTTTTGACTTCAGGTCCAAACTTAGGTTAATTTTGTAATTCAAGAGCTGAGAAGATCACAGACTTAAAACTTCAGAAACAAACTTTGAGACGTGTACATAACTACAAACCTGAATTCAGCTCACAATCAGCTTC